CCGGGAGCTTCCAGCTCCTCAAACTGGAAAGTTGTCTGTTACCCTCACTCTGGTCAAGTCTTTGCTTTCATTTCTTATTAGCAATACCAGAACACAAAGTACCCTAGAAACAAATCCACTTTCCTGGCAGCCTGTCAAATCCTTCCCATAGTATATCCTTACTTTATTTTGTTCTTGGTTGGGATTTTTTGCCTTCATTCCCCTAAGGTCCCACTCAAGGAGGAGACAGCTGAGCAGCATACTGGGGAGCTTCAGAGTCAGAGGGAGAGATCCCACTCCCCAAGCTCAAATCATCCCATTCTGCAGGGAAATAACAGCTTCACTTTGATCTGTCTCCATTTCTCCTATTTGCTCTCACTGCCTTCTCTGCTACTGCAAACTTCCTATTTATCTGGTGTAACATCCAATGCCTCCTGTTGGACATGAGTCTGCCATGGGCTGAGTCTGCCAGCAGGAAATACAAGGCTGGCAATGTGGCAGGGCAGGGAAGGAGAAGGGCTGGGCACAGACATCTTATGGGACAGGGACAGGATAAATCTATTCCTATGATGGGCAGATGCATCACACAAATTGGGAGGGGGCACTGGTTCCTGCTACCAGCCTAGGTCAAAAGAGATACTCAAAGGAGGAATAGGGTATAGAAGCTAAGATTGCTGCAATGATCATTCTCCAGATAGGAAAAAAGAAGGGAGTGATTTGTTCCTAATTGAATTTTCTCCATCAGATTGTTCTTCAACTACTACAGGTGCAATTTTCCTTACTGTGCCCCTTCCATGCCACAAACGCTCTGCTTCTGCCCTCTGCTTAAAGCATACGCTTAAAAACTTCCTGGGCTTTCCTTTCCTCATATGAAAGAAGAGAAGGATCAGCCACTGGGCTGGGATGGGAAAACTCTACATTCAATTGCTGCACTTGCTAAAAAATCCCAACATGTTTTTAGGGGAAAAAAAACCCCTTAATCTCTCTGTATCCCAAATTCCCATCAATAAAGCAAAATCAGAGTCCCGTCCCCATTTGAAGTGCTGGGAAGTAAAACTGCAAGTTTGATGTTTAATTTTCATGAGGCCAAGCACACAAAAAATTCTGAGCTAAAAGATAAAAGCAGAATTTTGTGGCTTACAGAGATTCTTTACTGTTGAGAAGATGTTATGAGATCCTTGAGCAAACGGTGCTGTAGAAATATCACATACTGTGGCCGTGCAATGCAATCCGTACTGTAGCTGTGTAATCCATACAAACAGTGGGATTATAGACTCTTCCCTGATTAGGATCTTGCTGGTTAGAGTCTGCAGCTGAGAGATGCATTACAGAAAACCTTATCGGAGAGCAAGGAAGTGAGAAAACATGTGGCTCTGACACTAAGTGAGTCTAACTAAGGCAAACACTGTCTGATTCCTGAGTGAGTCATAGTTTGGGTTTTACCCTTTGAGAAGTTCCTCATTTTAGCTAAGAAAAGTTCTCTGAGTTTCTCCAAACCTACAAGAAGTCACCAAGGAAGAACTGAAAAACAAACTTAAAATCTAATGCAAGTACATTCTATGAAGGAAAAAAACCTCTGTGTGTTTTGTTGAAGACAAGGACAAGGTCCTGAGCAGCCTGATAGTAAAGTCCAAGTTTGCCCTGCCTCGCACAGGGGATGGCTGACATGACCTTCTGAGGTGCCTTCAAAACTAAATTATTCTGTGGTTTTAAACCAAGCAAAATTGCTTAGCTTGGACCAGTGTTTTCTTTTGAACAGCATCCATGCAATGTAAAATAAACAATTAATCATTCACTATCATGCCAGGCAGAGGCCAAGCATGTTTCACACACATACCCCTCCCTGGCACTCTCCAGCGGCGACTGGTGGTGATGTGGACTGGGAAGAGCAGAGTCGAGTGGAAGGTGTCTTGAAGGGATGTCATGAGGAGGCGGCGGCAGCACACCTGGTGAGGGGCCGTTGTGGTTAGTGCTGGAACCACTGTACATGCCTGTGAACACAGCATTTTGCACAATAAAATAAGCAAGGAAGCATTCAAGTAAGTCCTGGAGAGACCCCAGCTCCTTCCCTATTCTCCCACCCCAAGACACAACCTGTGCGTCAGTGCACACAGCCGTGGCTGGAACGGCACGCAGAGCTGTGCCATGGTATTTTGACATGTGTGTCTTCCCTCCAGCCCTCTCAGGTGGTCCAGGTGTTCCTTGCTCTGACTGCAGAGCTGTGAGCACTCAGGCTCCTGACAGCCAGCAGGGCTTGGCAGGACTCTCACCCTGCCTTTCCCATACTTGTGAGTGAGAACCTGCAGCACGATGGAGCTCACACAGACAGCAGAGTGAACCATGGTACCTTGCTGACATCATATCATACACTAAACTTGAAGCACTGTGTTTGCATAAGGGGAACCAGGACCTGGGGTTTTGCTGATATCACTTTAAACTTTTTTATTTGACTCTCCATGAGTATGCTGCTGGACAACCCAGACCATTTGAAAATATCACATATTGATAGAAATGAAACCCAAATAAATTAAATGCAAAGAGGAACAAGGAGAAAATTTTAATAAGGCCATAAACCCCAGAAGGTTTACTAGTACACATAGGTACTGGTGTGTGGCTGTTCCATTTCTGGGAGCTCTGACTATTCTCTACCATGGTAGTCAGGCACCAATAGCCAAGTAAGTGTCTATCATGCCCTCAAGCACACCCTTTGTTGAGGAAGCTTTGTCCAGGTGGATTAAGATGTTGGGATTAAGTTTATCACACAGTGTCCCTTCTAAAGAGTAGCATGCACTAACTCAGGCTACCTGGGGTCAGGGCCTTCACACTGACTGTGGTGTGAAGGCTGCACTGAGGGCATATCTCTGTAATGACAGACATGAAAAGTGCTTGCTGCATGGAGTGTGCAGTGCAGGGGTAAAGGGACTGACTCCTAGTAAATGCAATTCTCAGAAAGGTCTAATCCTTTTTGTCTCAGTTTCTCTGCCTCTCTCGTCTTCAAGTTTACCTATAACACATCTCCCACAGTTTTGTCCCACCCTCCCAGGGAATGTGCACTAGACCAGCCACTCTGTGGGCAGCAAGTGATGTTTATCAGCTCCCAGTGTCCAGCTACAGAGCACAGGAGACCTCACAACCCCCAAGTTTCTTTGCCTTCTCTCCTCCTGTAGCATTCGTCTGTCCTCTCCCACTCAGTGTGTGCAGAGCTGCACACTGAGGAGGACAGAGCCATGTGTCAGCTGTGCTTGGCCGTGTCCCGTGACACTGACAGGGTTCTGGACAGCACTCCTCCCAAGCCCTCACAGTGGCATGGAACAAGCAGAAGGCAACATGAAAATCTGGAGCTGTGGGGAATGTGTGACAGCCCTCGGGGTGGAAAACCAACGGCTGAATGTCAGCATCTGTTTCTGTGTGTGATTGAAGAGCAGAACCACTAAGGCAAGATTCCAGCCACCTTTGTCAGGGACTTCAGATGAGTCAAAAACCCCTCGTGAACAATGAGTCCTCGGCTGCTGACAGATCTAAAGCAACAAAAATGAACCACATCATCTCTGTTTCCCTCTAGACAGAACATTTGTCAACCAGTCAGTGAAACCAACTTGCTTTCTGCACTGCACACCAGACAGAAGGGGCTTTAAGAAGTCAGATGTTCACAGGTGATGTGAGGATTTATTTGTCAAAGCCTCCTCTGACAACAGTAAGTCAGTAGTTAGGATGCTACATTGTGAAAATGCTCTTTTTCCACTGGTGCCTTCAGTCCATTTTGTAATACAACAGTTCCCACTTCCCCCAGATCCTCACTGTTCATACATTCATTATCAGGCTTGGAAGATGAGCCAAATACCAGTTGGACCTTGACTGTTCAGTGTCACTTCACACTTCAGCTGTATTTCCTATACAACCAGTTCAGGTATATTGGCAGCATAGCCTGGAGGAAAATGCTGAACCTAAACCAAGCTGTTGATGCTCTCTAAGGCTCACAGATTATTGCCAGTCCCTGTCAATAACTTGCACAAAAAGCTCAAAAGCCCTCAAAAAGTAGTTTGGTATACACACTCAATGTTCCCTTTCAATCCCAGCCCTGAACAAGTTCATGAATGTTTCAGACATCTCTCCTGGCCCATTCCTTACTGTCTCAGCTACTGAGGATAGTTCAATTCTTTGCTTGAAGTGGATGAGAAAGACAGAGTAGCCAAGTACCTAGGATCAGAATACTCCTCTAGGGAAGCAAGAAAATGTTAAAAAAACCAGCCCACAGCTCTATGTCCAGCAGCCAAGTCCTACATGATCCCATGCACTTAAACCCAACCCATCAGAAAATCAAATGGAACCAGAATCCCTGTCACCCTGAGTTTGTCATACCCAGCCCACTATGCAGAGGAGTTTACCCATCTGTGGAACTACTGGGGTGGACACCCATTGCCCACTGTTGGGCTTGAAGAGTTGTCTAGCTCTGGCTCCTAGATAAAGCAGGACTTCTTCCATTTACCCTGAGTTTTTCATCTACCTCCATTAGTAGTCTACCTACATACAGTCACCTACCTACATTAGCCATCTATCTCCATAGAGCAGTCTTCCATCTACCTACACCTTTTGACTTGCTGATCACACTTGCTCTGGAAAAGGTCCCTGCTTGGAGCATACGTGTGCTGAGGCTTGCAGGGTTTGTTCATCAGTGAGTTCTCATCTTCTTGCATATTCATGCACCATCCACTCGCACTCAGTTTGACACATGGTGTCTCTTGTCCCCCACATCCCTCCAACCCCATCCACACTGCAGTTTGTGCTGCCTCACCCCAGCTCCTCTGACACTGACAGCCCCTTTCCATGGCACTACTGGATGTCAGGGCATTTGTCCCCAGACCCTCTGAGACACTACACGTGTGCTGCCTGCTGCCAAGCAGCATGTGTCCCAGCTGAGCCAGTGGGAACACTGATTTTGGGAGCTACTCTCTGTTTTCCAATTGTCACAATTCATGAAACGTGTCAGAACACAATTATCTTTGAGGCATTTGTCATATGTGGTTGAGCTTGGCTAATGGATTAAAAAAGTGCTGTGGGGATGGGGATTGACATGTGGACAGAGAGGCCAGTGAAAGGATTATATAAGCCTTGCTTCCAAAGGAAATGGGCTTAAAGATCCTGCTTTGTGCAGTGCATGTCCCTTGGCTGGTGGGGGGAACGGGTGAGCTCTGAGACTGCTCTGGCATCAGACACAGGGATGTGTGCTCCTGGGCTTGGGGTGAGGCTCTGAGCCTGCACAGCCTGCCATTTGGATGGGGGCTGCATCCTACCATTTGGATGAGGTCTGCATCCACCCCTGAAGCTTCTGGATGGTGAGAAAACTGAAACATGAGCCAACATAGACAAAGAATCAACCCAATTGTTCACTTGCTCCACTCACATGGGGTGCCTGCCTGTAATTAAAGAGCACTTTGAAGGCCATGTGGCACACACAATGGAAGATGGGATTTACTACGAGATTCTTCGTGCATCTGCAATGAGACATTAGTCATTTCTGTTGAGTCATTGAGAACCAAACTGGTACTTATTTAAAGTCAAAAGCTATTTGTCTTACACAAGGGCTCCAGCAGAACATTTCCTTTACCTCCTTCAAGGGACAGAACTTTCTCTGGCCATGGCCACTGTGCCTGGTGCCCTCTACCATCAGCTATCCTAATCCGTCAGCTATCAGCCAGTTATGCCACTACTGGAATTAATTTTGACATAGTTTTATTCCATACTTAAGGCACTCAAATTTTGGAGCTGTTGTCATTCAGATTCCATGACTACTCAATGATATGTTCATGGCTGTGAAGCCCAAAGATGGAGCTTTTAGAAGGAAATATTGGCAGTGGTGTCCATCAGGAAAGAGAGTGAACTGCCTTGTTTGGGAAAGCAGGAGACATTTGCTGATATGGGGTGTACAAGGTCCTTCCCACTGCCAAGCCCTAATGGAAAGGAAGAGTTTGAGCCAAGGGAAATGCTGTCTCTGCTGTGTGAATCCCTTTGTCTAGGAAACCAGGTGCCTCTACAGTGGAAGAAGTCAAAGGACAAAGAACAGTTGCTAATTTAGTCTCAAGATCATTTTCGATACTTCCAAAATTTCATTCCTTTTACAGTTTTTCTTCCTTTTTTTTACCACATTGGATTGTAATATTCTGAGTACCTGAAATCACACAAAAGCCCTTGGAATCTGTTGTGAATGATTCCTGGAAGTGTAGCCCATACCAGGCCGGTGCACCTTGGGCCTCTTCACGCATTGACCATCTCAGCTTGTAAATATAAGTCATCAATCAGTATTTTAAATGGTTTGGCCTTTAACCTTAACATCTGTGGCCAAAACAGTGCTCTGAGCGTCTGTGACTAGAAGCCTTTTTCCCCTCCAACTTTATGCTGAAACCAGAAAAACAATAATAAAACATGCCCAGAGAAAATGTCTGAGTGGGACTAACACCTTGGAGACACTTCCTTTGCAGGGAAGGTGATATGAGCTCTCAGGCACAGCCAGAGTTGAATGTGTGCAGCCATGAGGCATCTTAGCTATGAGGAGGGAAAAAGGAGGAAGATCTCAGCAAACAATGGGCTCCTCTGACTGCAGAAACATTCTTCTGCTCACTGTCTTACCCAGTCCCAAGCACAAACCTGCTTTGAAGTCAGACACAAGGGATGGGAGCTTTTTTAATATTTCATTTTTCTGTGATGGGCTTTCATCCCTGACATATTTAAAATGTGCTTTAACTTGGAGAAAGACAAAACTGAAATTCTCCAGGAATCCAAGTGATCCCTAAAGCCCAGAGCTCTGCACATTAATAATGTGGTTTCTTTGAAAAAAAACCCAACACAAAACCTAAACTCAAAACAAAAACCCAAACCATGAACAATTTCATATTTCATGTGGAGTCAAGAGAACATCATATACTGTATTTATCCCTGTATATTCTCTGTATTTATCCTTGTATATCCTATGCACAGTATTATAGCTGATTTCTCCAAAAATATTGCCTCTGCTTATTTGAAAGAGCAAATGTACAATCACTGCAGACTATAGGTGGCAGCAGG